ACTTTTACTCGAGTACGGAAAGTGAGTACTTTTACCATCTCTGTAAGCTGCTCAGGGCGTCTGTAGCAGCCCTTTAATGTCGGCCTTTCTCTTCCGTATTTTTCCGCTCTGTGTGCCACCATCATTACGAACTCTGACTGGTTGTCATGGTTGCAGGGTGTGGGGGGTGTGGTCTTAGGGAGGGCGAGGGTTTGGAAAAACAGCTCATCTAGCAGAGGGCTGAATGAGGAGGTTATTGGTGCGCACCTTCGGCCTAATCTGAGCGGAGTTTTCCTGCTCTGGATGTTTGGGAATATTTTTAGTTTTCAAACATAGTATACTGTAATATGAGACCTTTAATTAACTCTGATTGAACCAGATTAACCCAGAATGGATTTGACAATTTCTATTAATTAACAGATTAGAACCGATTATTTCAGATGAAACCAGATTAGACTTAATTATTTTTATCTGATCCAGATTAAACAAGATTAGAATTCTTCATCTCTGACCAGATTGATCTTGATTATTTCTGGCAAAATTAGATTTGATTATCTCTAATCAGATTAGATCTGATCAACTGTGATTAAACCAGATTTGTCCAGATTATCTCATATTAAACCAGATTAAATTTAATGATCTATGACTAGATTAAAGTTGAGTAGCTTCTTACTCTGACAGGCTCCTCTCAAAGGTCTGTCTTCTCCCCACTGACGACTCTCAGCAATGCAGACAAAGCTGCTAACAGGAAGTGAGTTCTGGTAACCATGGTGACAGATGAGGTCACAGTTTTGTTGTCCAGCAGCTCCTGGACGGCACAGCAATGCACCATGGGTAATGTTGGGGGCAGGACAAAGAGGACCTGAGAGAAAAGGATTTGGACCAATCAGAGACCTCAGTTCTGCTGCCATCCACTAGGAGGCTCCCTCATCTCTGACTCACGGTCACATGATGGCGTGCGTCCCGTCCGTCGAAGTATCCGAGTCCCAGCCACTTCCTGTCCACCCTCAGAAACACACCAGCAGGAAGTGACATCACACTGCAGCGGGGCGAAGGAACCATCAGGGTGACACTGGAGACCCTGCAGCTCACACCAGCTGGGACCTGAAGGCAGCAGAAGTTTCACAGAGAGACAGTGAACGCAGCA